CACCATCAGTGAACTTCTGTGGGTACACTCTCTCAGCATCAGGTATCGCAGCTGACCCGGAGAAATTAAGTGGAATCAGGGATTTTCCAACCCCTGCCAACCTGACAGACCTCCATTCTTTTTTGGGTCTGGTCAGTCAACTGGCTGAATTTACACCTGACATCTCCGCTGCAGCCCAGCCGTTACGCCCCCTGCTGAGCCCCAGGAGGACATTCCTGTGGACCCCAGATTATCAAGAGGCCTTCCAGCGAGTCAAGCAGGCCCTCGTAATTCCACCTGTCCTCGCCTGTTACGACCCAGCCCTACCCACCGTCCTCCAGACCGATGCCTCCAGACTCTACGGCGTTGGTTACGCCCTTCTACAGGACCATGGCGGTGGACAACTCCGCTTAATTCAGTGTGGATCCCGGTTCCTGACGGACGCTGAAACCCGATATGCCACGATTGAGCTGGAGATGTTGGCTGTTGTCTGGGCGATGGCGAAGTGCTGCTTCTACCTGATAGGACTTCAGCACTTCACCCTCTTCACGGATCATCGCCCTCTTATACCTATTATCAATCACTACTCTTTGGATGCAGTAGAGAATCCTCGCCTTCAACGTTTGAAAGAGAAGCTTTCGCCTTATCTCTTCACGGCTGTGTGGCGTGCGGGTAAGCTGCTGTGCATCCCGGATGCCCTGTCCCGCGCCCCTGTCAGTCGCCCCACCCCAGAGGACGAGATGTTGTGTTCTACAGCTGCTGCATCCCTCAAGTCAGTAGTTTCATTGAAGGCCGTCTTCACATCAGAAGAGTCTACAGCACTGGATGCAGACAAGACCCTTGAAGATCTCCGCACCTCAGCCCGGGCCGACCCTTCCTACATCCGGCTCGTCGACTATGTGTCTCAGGGATTTCCATCTAACCGATACGACCTTCATGAATCGCTACTCCCGTACTGGAAGATACGCGAGGACCTCTATTGTGACGGAGACCTCGTCTTGTATGGTCCACGAGTAGTCACTCCTGCTGCCCTACGCCGCCGTACCTTGACCCGCCTTCACGACAGCCATCGAGGAGTGGAAGCCACCAAGCAACGGGCGAAGCAGACTGTATTTTGGCCCGGAATCGACGCGGACATTGCAAGTACCGTCCGTGCCTGTAAGCCGTGCCAGATTCTGCAACCCAGCCAGCAACAGGAACCTTTAATGTGCGACGATAACCCTTCAAGACCCTTCGAGTCTGTGTCGGCAGATTTCTTTGCAGTGGCAGGGAAGTCCTTCCTCGTCATTGCCGACCGACTCTCTGGATGGCCTGTTGTCGTCCCCTGTGGTAGTGATACAACGGCTACTGCTACCATCCGGAATTGCAGGCATTACTTCAGAGAAGTTGATGTTCCCCTCCGCCTCAGGACTGATGGAGGACCCCAGTTCACCAGCCACCAGTTCCGGGACTTCATGGACCGTTGGGGAGTCCGTCATGTCGTGACCTCGCCCCACTACCCCCAGGCGAATGGACACGCTGAAGCCGCAGTCAAGACTGTTAAACACCTGATCCTTAAGGTGTCACCCTCAAGAAATATCGATTGCGAGGACCTCGATCGAGGTTTGTTGGAGTTACGCAACACCCCGAACTTCACTGGATGCTCCCCAGCCCAGGTTCTATACGGACATCATCTCAGGTCTTGTGTTCCTGCCCACCCGAAGTCTTTTTCTCAAGAATGGCAGGCCAAGACTGAGGAATGTGACCGCCGTGCAGCAAAACGAGCCGCAGATGTCGCTGCTCGGTACGACTGTCATGCCCGCCCCCTTCCCAGGTTGAGTATCGGCCAGCAGGTCAGGATTCAAGATCCGGTATCTCACCGCTGGGACAAGGTTGGGGTTGTCATGGGTATTGGCCGGTCCAGGGGCTACCAAGTGCGTCTTCCTAGTGGTAGAGTATGGTGGAGGAACCGTCGTTTCCTCAGACCTGTGGAGCTGCTTAGTGTTGACCCTTCCCCAGTTGAGTCCCCTAATGTTGATGTCTGTACAGTAAATCCATCCCCACCTTGTGTTTCTGCCCCAGTACTCCGCAGGTCCGAGCGACTCAGAAACAAAAGGTCCGCTCAAGATGAAACTATGAGCGTATAGGGGGGAGGGAGGTGTATGATATGGACACAAAGTAGTACTTTAAGCTGTGTATACTCATATTACCCCTCTAATTATGTATAGTAAAGTATTACAGAACATGTATTAATCCTATGTAATATTTCCATTTATTGTGCACCATGTTATGTGTATAAATTATCATATTTACATTTTATGTATTCAGCTTGTGAATGCTGGCATCTGTACAGGCCAGCGCGCAGTAATACATAGAGTGGAGACAGCCAGTCCCTCAAGTGCGGAAGCGAGCTTCTTGGTCCTTTTGTATATATCTCCCGTACGAGAATAAGAACCTACTTTTAAGATAACAAGTGTTTGTGTATACCCTCCGTAGTGTAGAACATTTTGGAGGTATCCTAGACGAACGTAGACCAACTGTCTGTTTGCCTGCGTGGTGTTTGAATGTAAGCCCGTCTGTACTCTTTGTGTCGTCAAATCTGTCTGTCTTATCTGTTGTTGGCGAGTCTCTGCCCGTTTGTCTAATGTGAACAAGTCAGTCAGCTGTCTGTATGTCTCTCTGTCATGTTAGTTGCCATATTGTCTATTTGTGCATGTATGAATCTGTCTATTTTTGTCAACCTCCTGTCTGTTTCACTGTCTAGTTTCACCCTGTGTAGTCATGTCTGTCTGTTTGTATGTATTTGTCTGTTAGATATCTTTGTCTTTCATAAGTCTGTCTATCTGTCTGTCTTTCTGTGTGTCCTTGAATCTGTCTGTAATATGTCTTTTGTTTGTCCGGTTCTCTCTCTCTCTCCAATTTTATCCGTACTATCTCTATCTCTATTTATATATCTCTCTCTCCATTACATTACTCATCATATTTAGCACTTTTTCTTCCATATTAAATAGGTGATTTTAATATGGTATTCTGTACACTTCTAAAAACACACCCCTCCATTCATACCTCCACCTCTCACTATCCCTCTCTCCCATCTCCTTTCCTTGCTCGCTTCTTAAGGATAATAATGTTTCTTCTCCTTCTCTTCTCCCTTTCTATCTTCTCCATGCATTCCTGTTATTATCTTTTTATGTCTTCTCCTTTTCCATGTACAGTCAGCCACAGAAATAAGTATTCACTGTAGCCTCGTAAGGTCCGAAAATGCTCTGGTAACGTTGAAACTGCGCATCCAGACGCATAATGAAACTCAGCTCCCCCCACCACCTGTTATCTCCAAGTATTTTCTGTTTCCCCCTTCTTTTTTCTTCTATTTACTCACCTTTCTTCCTTTATTAATCCAAACAACATTGAAAAAAAAAGTAGGCTAGGAGCAAAAGTGGGGTGAGGAGGAGGGAGCCATACGATAACTGCAATCGTCCGGCCGGCAGACAGCGTACAGCAACATCTTTTGCCAGTGTAAATAAAATCGTTAATTAATGCCTTCCTAAAGAAACCATCGACATGGGACCAGGTGTGTTTCACCCTACGAATTTTTTGAGATTTTTCCACCAAGTTTGATGAAAAACGATTGTGCCTTTTCGGCTGCACAGAACAGACAGACAGACAGACATCAGACAGTCAGCTAGTCCTACAGTATATTATATATATATATATATATATATATATATATATATATATATATATATATATATATATATATATATATCAGCATATACCTGATTCACGTGCACCTACAGTGATTTGTATATATATATATATATATATATATATATATATATATATATATATATATATATATATATATATATATATATATATATATATAAATATATATTTAGAGAAAATGCTAAGTCATGAATCGTCACTGTGTACCGGTGTTGTTAATGTATAACAATCTGATTTTTTATTTACTTTTGGTATGTACTGTATCTAGTACTTACCTACGTCCTTGAGAGCAAACACTTTCGTCCCGTGTCCTTCAACATGATATTAGTTATCATGAGTACTTGTCTCAGACATTGTTATCTGAACCCTGGGGAGTCAAGGACCCCTTAACTCTCTTATCAATGATTTATGCTAAGCACAATGTTCAGCTAACTGCTGAAGTTAAAACGGCATCTGATCCTGTCGTCACCGTGTAACTATTGCAAATCAAAGTCTTCTCGTTGTTCTCGATAAACAATGTGACAAGGCAAACCGAGAGTAATAAGAATGTGAAGGGAAAAAGTATCTTCCTTTAACTAATGATGGATATGACACAGATGTAAGGGATGGTTGCTGTTGTTGTCATTGTTATAATATTATTACTAAGCTTCAATAATGGAGATCTTTAAGCGTGTAACAAAATTAGTAATATACTATAACTCCCTGTGATAAATATAATGGGGACGAAGCAACTAATACTGGAGACGATGAGCAAAAAGGAACTCCGAACAAAACCTGAGGTTGATAAGACTTGCACCTTATGAAATTAGGAAGATAAAAGGAAAACAAATATTAAGCTCAGTTAACACACAAAGAAAGGTTTTAAATAACCAGGTTTCTAGTTTAGTTTCTGTAAAAGTTGACCAAAAATTACGCTTTTCGTTTGAGAAAAGTGTATTTCGTAAAAGATTTCAAGAAGCTGAAGTAGGTGAGTCGCAAAATTGATGCATCTTTATCAAAATCTCATTTTAGTTACTGGTGACTGGAGAGTCACCATAACGTGAAGAGCAATGTAAGAGAAGTAAACCTCAATGACAGACAAATATTTCGTCTGCCATTATGGGTTTTTTCTCTTAATTGCTGGTGTAAAAATATTTTGTCAACAATTGGCTGAACTGAAGTTTCGTATTCTACGTAGCTACAGAGACCTTGCCATATCTAATAGTTATTACGGAACTGTAACCCAAGATTATCAAATATAATAATACAATATAACATCTCAACATGATGAAGGATATTCACAAACCGAAACTGTCGAGCATGACATCTTTACTTACAGTTGGTGGTCTGGAACACTCTTAATCGGAGATGGTTATGACACGAAGTAATGCTGCTCCTGTCGTAACGCACGGCTGCTCCACAGTGATGCGAATAGTTGCCAGATTTTAATTTCATATTGAATTTAGTGTTTTTTATACAGTGTATTTAATTCCTACAACCCAAGCTATTAAATTCACGATTATTTGAATTTTTTCCTTACCTGTATGAAAACAGATATATAAGCAATGGAATATACATGATATTGGGGTGTAGCAACGTATTGTATTTGCTATCCTTGATAAGATATGTTTCTCTGATTAGTCCAAGAATTTATTCCCAGACACGAGACTTCAACCTCGCCTTCATTATGGCAGCAGAGCAACTTCCACAAACATTTCAAAATGCTCTTACGAAAACTGCTGTTGTTGCATTACCTTATCAATGTCGCTCAAATGCTAAAGACACGATTTCATGCACAGTGAGTTGATGTTATTGTTGTTGTTATAATAATGTTATTACTGCGCGTCATATAATTAGAGATGAGGGGATAGGAAATTCAAGCCGGCGACACTGATGATCGACGACGAAGGGATTGAGTACTCTCAAATAGGCAGGTTGCTCTGCCTCATCATCTCTTGGAAGGACATCATTTCCCACGTGGACCGACTAAAGAAAGCCAAAGTCGCCGCAGCCAAATTAAAACGTTTTAAACTCATGCCTGAGAAGATACAAGTCCACCTGTACAAGGCGCTGGTGAGGCCTGTGTTGAAGTACCCACACGACCCACTCGTCACGCCCAGGAAGCCCAGACAACAACTACAGAGCTTCCAAAACAAGTGCCTGAGGTCAGCCAGTGGCCAAGCGCCACCCTACCAGGAAACAGTGGAAACCACCCACCTGAGAAATAAGACGGTAGCCCTCAACGTCAGGTTCCATCGTGTAAGAAAGAACGTTTGGAACAAACTCCTGGACGACCCTCACAGCCCAGACCACCTTCGAAGGGAAGACATCAACGGAGGGCGACCCCACGCTTGGTGGCCACGGAATCTGCCCGTACTACAACAACCCAACTAGCGACCCATCTATGTCCGCCACAACGATCCACCTGAGATTAAAACTTAGATAATATAAGATCACATTTAACAACTCACAATCAAGTGAGTCCATAACGTAATAATTTAATAATATTTTAATAAAATTTTAATTGTAAAATCAAACTAGCCATTATCAACCAAAGTAACCATTGTGCAACCTCATCCTAAATTCTAGGTTAGCTTAGTTAGCCAACAAACTCTGTAATATATAAAACACGGGGTGTGGTCCCCCTCTGTTTAACTCATTAAACTTATTACCTAAACTTTCCCCCCACGACTACCTGTCGTGACGTCTCTTTCTTTCATGTCTGGCTGTGCCTTGAGCCACAGCATGCCTTCTATCTTTATCCCCCACCTTAAACATAATCATCCCACAATCTTCCCATGGATTGTGAAAACAGCTTAGAAGTGTACAAATCATCATGTGTCATAGAAAGACTTCTGCTTGAAGCTAGTTTGATTAGGGAATTGAATTCTATACACCTTAGTTATGGTAAGTACAAAACTGATAATATGTTACACAAATTTATTTGTCAGTGGCCCAAGGTTAAAAATAATTTTAAAGCATTAGAGGTTGATGAAGGATAGATGATTAGTGGGTCCCATATTTTTTACCTGACTTAACTTGACTAGTCACGTCACCCTTTCTCTTAAGCTCCTTTGCGTGTGCGATGGTGTTGGTGTGCGGATTATTGGATGTCATGTTTATGACCTGACCTCATGTTTAGTAAGGTCTCCCTGCGTACTTTAGCCTCTCTCTGTCTATGCAATTCAATTGCCTCTGAAGATGTTTTGAATAAGGACGAAAGCTAAGGTGAGGTCACCT